GTGTGTGTGTGTGTGTGTGTGTGTGTGTGTGTGTGTGTGTTGTCCTACTTAATATGTTTACAAAATGTTTTGTTTCTCTCTTGGGAAAAACTGTTGGACTGAATCACTGCTATGTAAATCTGCTTTACCATTTGCCATCTATAAAGTACATTTATCAGCTGAGGGTTTTTTTGTTTTTTTTAATTTCTTCTTCACTTGCTTTCAGGAAGATGTATTATAGATCAGTACAGCATATGTGTCTGTGTGAGTCAGTGTGCATTCACATTCATATGTACCTATTCAAACCAGCCAGAGGACTTTGAATATGCAAAGTGGTACCAAATGTTTTGTGGCTTATCAGTCTTTAAACTTGCCAGCTGCATGCGTTTCGTTCCTGCAATCACAGTACAGCCTTCCTCCAAATGGATATGAAAACTACAGGATTTAACTAAAAAATAAAGATCATTCTTGCTGAGAAGAGAAGTCAAAAATGTTTGATTTGAGATTAAATGCATCAGTTATTTGCAGTTTTGTGGTGTTCCTAGTCTTAATTATCTTGACATAGCTTATCAAAACTGCTTATTGAATTGTATATTTGTCATTTAAAAGCTTTTGTTATTTAAAACAATGTGTTTAAGTTTGAAAAAGCCCCAGTTTGGTAAGTGATACAATTGGTAGATAAGTGCAGGAAAATAAAGGAGACAGGTGAAATGATTGCACTCTTTAGATATTAAAATAGGAACGGCTTACTTGATAAGCTGGACGATTTATAATTTATATGCATTAATGCTTGGGGGAGGGTTTTTTTTTTTTGTTTTGTTTTTTTCTCCTCCTTCTTTCTTTCTTCCCCCATCCTCCTCTGACCGTCCTTTTCCCGATGAGCATATACTCTGTATTTGTGTAGGTGGCTGTTTATGTGTTTGGTGCCTACATGTCTGCAGGGGAACCAGTGAAAGGGAAAATTCCACAGAGAAAAAAATACTACTTTGGAGTGAGTCTACTGCTGTTTACAGTCATGATAAATAAATGATAATTGACTGAATTTCCTCTTTTTCTTTTCTTTTTCTTTTTCTTTTTTTCTCCCGTCAGGCGTAAGGATGAGGTGACCCACATTAAGATCCAGAACACTGGTGACTACTATGACCTGTATGGAGGCGAGAAGTTCGCCACACTGGCCGAGCTGGTGCAGTATTACACTGAACAACAGGACCTCCTGCGCGAGAGGAATGGTGACGTCATTGAGCTTAAATATCCGCTCAACTGCAAGGACCCCACATCTGAGAGGTGCCAGTGCCAAAAAAGAATGAAATAGCCCTTTATTGTCATTGTACACGTAGAATGCCCACACGTGCAGATAAATAATATTTGTACAGAGCTAACACTGTGAGAGAAGAGAGAGAAACTTCTGAGGTCAGCCTGATTACTTTTATTAAGACTTATAACTATATTCCTGGCCACAAACGGTTAACTCTTACTGTTATTGCTTCAGGGTGTTACACTACTGCATCTCATCCTGTCAGGAGAAGCAGTTAAACCACCTGAGAACCACCAGTGCAGTGGTAGAGGTCTATGTCAGTCTGTAGGGGGGAAAAAAACACTGTGGGCAAAACAATCTTTTAGAGTCAGGAGCATTGTTATATTATTTGTTAAGTATTATGTTTTTGAGATCTACTTTTCAGTGTAAGATTTACAAGTTGGATAAGAAAGCTGGCAGTGTGGTACAGTGAATGAGTACCACACTGTGAATGAGTAGAAATAAAAAGATTAAATATTTAGCTTGATAAGATGTTAAAAGATTAGTATATTGTAAATATATGAAATGTAGTCGTAACTAAATTCAGATATCATGGCTTCAAAACAACCCCTTTCATTCATTGCTACAAGGATGTGTTTTTCATTAATTGCTAATATATGTGGCAATAAATTATTGCAAAGCAAAAACAGTCTTAAACAGGGTACTAAATATATTTTTTTAAAACAAACAAAAAAACAACATGGCAAATATCAGGTGACATTAAGTGACTCGTTATAATGATGTCAATTATAATTTGGGCTCAAATCGGCCATTAACTCATTATGTACACAAAAGTGTATAAACATGTTTACACATGCAATACGTCGAGCTAATGCACTACTCTGCACACACCCCAACATTATGCAATTGCACTTCACAGTCACATGTTTAAATGTTACAAATCTTTGAACAAACTAAGTGGGCGATACTGCTGTTTGTTTCGTTTTTTTTTGTTTTTTTTTTGTTGATACTCACCAGATATACACATCCTTCAGAGCGTGTACACAGGTTGGATGCAGCTTTGCACTTCGTCACACCTACACACCTCCTTTGAAACAGGAGACCTCTGCATCTGGTGTATTAATGCTAGGAATCCATGCATGCACTCACACACTTACGGGAAGCTTTTTAGCAAGCTAGGTGGTCATATTTCTGTAATAATTTGCACAAAAATGATAATCTAATACAGTTTTGTGCTGAGCGGGGCTATTTACTCTCCTTTTTCAGCACATCTGCACATTGCAATATGTATATTTAGTTTCTTTTTTAGGTTTTAGAACGACTTATGATGTATGGTTTTGGTTTATGTGGTTTTTTTCCATTCTACATGCATCTCTTGTCAGAGCTTCCGGCGTGTTCTCGCTCACCACAGGGAAAAAAAAAAAATGCAGACATGCAAGTTTTTCATCTTAACATCAGTAAGTGAGTGAGGCGGCAGTCATATAAGAGACACTCTCACTCCTGAGTAGGAGTCTACGCTCACTATACATGTATAGACATGCATTATGTTAAAGCCTCAAAGGTACAATATGGAACTTTTCCTTTGAAACAGGAAGCGTATTACTAGTCCTCCCACTCAGTTGGTCAAGTTTTTGGGGTTTTTTTTCTTCTTTTTTTTTTTTTCTTTCCTTGACTTGTTCTGCCTTACAACATTCATCCAAAGACTGCTTTTACCGTCTCTATACTAATTGGAGAAAATGATGGTAAACAAAGCCTGACGAATGTTTCAAACCCCCCAAAACTCAAAAATATTAATATGCATTGTGTTCTTGAAAAGGTCTTAACATCCTCAACTTTGTATTTATTGTGTGATGTCCACACAATTAATTTCAGATATTCACCGAAAATATCCGAAATGGGCAGAATTTAGGCGCAGTAGTTAAAAAATAAAGATAAATTAATAATAGTAATAGCAAAAGGAGAGTAATTAGTTTTGTTTGAATTAAATGAAAACATGTGAATGGTAGTTATAAATGCAGTAATAATGGTCTAGTACCATGAAAACCTGGCAGTCAAACACATGGTCAGGATTTCTGGTTCTCGGGGTGTTCTAGGGTTTACTTTTGAGAAATCCTCATATTTCACATAACGCCATCTTTTAAGTTTTCAGTCTGCCACTGATCATTGTTTCCAGACTCATCAAGTTCTCCCACTCTTCTCCAGGTGGTACCACGGGCACCTCTCAGGTCGAGACGCAGAAAAACTGCTCACGGAAAAAGGCAAAGCCGGCAGCTTTCTGGTACGGGAGAGCCAGAGTAAACCGGGAGACTTTGTCCTCTCTGTTCTCACTAATGAGGAGAAACATGACAATGTGGATCGCAAGACCAAGGTCACCCATGTGATGATACACTACCAGGTCAGATATTTAATTCCAGGCCCGCTAAGATGTACTGAATCTTGTAAGGAGGATGTTGGGTAATGTTTGTGGCTTCAGATTGGTGGCTTACAATGCCTACTCATCCTAGTTTAACCTGGGCAGTTTGTATTTTTAAGTAGGTCATGATTTATTTATTTTTTCAAAGAACTCCTCGGGCCAGCTGTGAAGTTGTTGAATTATCGACTTTTGTTTTCAGCAGGACGGCAAGTACGACGTGGGTGGTGGTGAGAGGTTTGACACCCTGGCTGACCTGGTGGAGCACTATAAAAAGAACCCCATGGTGGAAAAAAGTGGCATTGTAGTACACCTCAAACAGGTATGGGAGCATTTGAACAAATGAAAGCATCCAGGCTTTAAAGGCATTAGTTGGGTTCAAATTTTAAGGTTGATGTGAAAAGGTTTCTTGTGTCAAAATAGCTTTCTTTTTTTTTCTGGTCTGTTAACTGATCAAATCTTTAATCATCTTGTCCCAACCCGGCAATGACAGCCTTTTAATGCCACGAGGATAAATGCTGCCAACATTGAAAACCGGGTACGAGAGCTCAACAAAGTAGCAGACAATTCTGAGAAACCCAAACAAGGATTCTGGGAAGAATTCGAGGTCTGTACCATTTAAACTTTCACTACCAGAGTCACTCATTCAATTTATATCCTCTATCCTATTAAAATCAATTTAATAACCTGATGAGCTGAGTCATATAGGCTTGACATAACTGGGGGAACTGATTCATGTTATCGTATTGAGTGCCATCTGTAGCCTGTGAGTCCAGCTTTTAACCACTGCAGTATGTTTTAAGAAAGAAGCCTCATTTTTTTTTATTCATATTTCATATATGTGACATGTTACTCATACTATATAAAATACATAAAAAAATGGTACCCATTTGGCTGCTTGTTGTTGATTTTCATCTGTCATTTATTTGTGCAGACTTACAGCTGTGGGTTTTATTTTTCCTTAGTTATTCATTTCTTTGTCTGTCATGGGAAGTCTAAATGAATTTCAGCTGTCTTAAACTTTGAGTAATGAAACTGGCTGAAGCTTAGTTTATCTTGTGGCATGCATTCATCTTCTTGTTATGTTGTTTTCATGCAACTGACAATTCAATAATGTGAACCATTTCTATTACGTCGGGGTGCAGTAGCTAGTTATCTCATATTTATAAGCCCAGTGCTCCTGCAGGTTTGTCTCGTTATTGGTCAACTGCTTGTGGTGAGACTCGACTTCACAGTGAATTAAATAGGTTTTTGGTGTGTAGGTTATTTGGATCAGGAAATTAGGAAAATGATGCAAGAATAATAACTAGTCAACCTGGATTTGTATTCATGGTAGGGCTGCCACAAACGATTATTTTGATAGTCGACTAGTCACCGATTATTTTTGCGATTAGTCGACTAATCATTTCAAACATCCATTGAACGTAAAACGTACAGCTTATTGCACCAGCATGCATCTGCTCTTATATAACTATCATTAGCTTACAGCTTTAAGTGTTTAAGGTCTGTGCTAACTAAGAATAAAGACAAGATGATAGTTTATTAAATTTTAATGAAATTTGCAGATTGTTTCGGTGAAGTTTAATAAACTCCTTGCTATCTAAAATATAACCTGACACTGGAGTATATTCTCGAGCATCTCACACTTCTGATAATCAGTTGTCTGCTTGACGTTTATTCAGCTGTGTAAAAACTATAACTTTAATCTCAGCCAAACCGATTTACTCAGGAACAAATAAAATACTGAAAAAAGCCAAACAATAACATTTTAAGTTATCTAAGTGACTTATATATCATGTTTAACCTCCTAAGACCCGAACTCTTCCACTGCATGCATTTTTAATTTCTCTTTGATATTTGGGCATATTGGGGCCCGATAAATGTATAAACAAAGAAAAACCTGATTTTTGTTTTTATGAAAAATCAGAGCCACATAACAGTAGTAGTAGTAGTAGTATAATGTCCTCGTAAATGGATATCAGGCCGTTGAAGAGTAAAAATGAGTATTTTGGTCTAAATAACCCAAAATGTGATGTCCATATATATATGGCCATGTTTAACCTGAGTAGCGAAAGACGGCGGTGGGTTTGAAAACGATTTGCCGGGAGTCCGGTGTTCTCACCGGCTCTAGTGAGCCTTGCCCCCGGCTAGCTATCGAGCTAGTGGGTAACAGACGTCTCCGAAAACGTCGGAGCGCTTTTGAAAATATGTGGTGTCTTGATAAACTGAGCAGATATTTGAGGTTTACACAGCTACATTCTCGCCTGAAAATATGTTAAACGTTTATTTTGTGACCCAGAAAGAATAATAAGAGTAATATTAAAACTAACTAGCTGCCGCCATTGTTGGAAACTGAGCTGGGCCGCGCTATGAATTCTGGGACACAGCTTCTTCTTCTTCGGGGTTTAACGGCAGCTGGCATCCTTGTACATGCAGTGCTGCCATCTTCTGTTTCAGTCCGTTATTACACTCTTAAATCCTACTACTTATTCCTGCGTCTTTTGTGATCTTACAAAGCTTCAAACGACGCGTCGACTATTAAATCAGTCGTCGACGATTTTGATAGTCGACGTAATCGTGACTAGTCGACTAATCGTGGCAGCCCTAATTCATGGCACACCTGGTTTTAATTATCATTGCAAAGGAAATAAAGATTGATATAATTGCTTGACATATCTATTAATAGGAAGTATAAATAAAGAACTGTGCTGTTAATACAACTCGTATGGTGAAATGCTTCCTCTTCATTGTGCAATGTGAATGCTGCCGTTTTCCTATTGTTCCACTCCAGAGTGACCCCTGCTGTAGTAAAAGCCCATTACACTGTTAACTTTAATCTAGAGTAGCTCATATATAATTGTCTTCCTTTAAATTTCAGTTCCATTATTGTGGATTTCCTTTTGTTCGAAACTTCCCCCAACTCTGTGTTTCTCTTTGTTTTGCTGTCAATCTTCAGGTACTTCAGCAGCAGGAGTGTAAACTGCTGTATCCCCGGAAAGAAGGCCAAAAGCCAGAAAACAAGAGTAAAAACAGATACAAGAATATCCTCCCCTGTGAGTCACACAGCAGCCTGCCATTTCCTGCCTCTCCAACTTCCTGTGGAAAGTGACACAAATAGACAACGTAGAGGCCTAAGCAGAGCATGCAGAGTTTTGCTTTGATGGCTCACAGCCTTTACGTTATGTTTGGGGAGGGGACAAAATCTAGTGTGGTCTCACAAAGCTGTAGACTTTTTGTTGTGTACTAATAGTTTTTACTTTGTGTTTTCAGTCGACACGACACGTGTTGAAATCAGGGAAATGGATCCTGATGTTCCTGGTTCAGACTACATCAATGCCAACTATATCAGAGTGAGTGTGTTCAGCATTAGATAAGACGTGTATCAACAAATGCATTATAAAAAAATATAGTAGTAGTAATAATAATGAGTATTCCTGGGATTTTGAGAACATTTATCTAGTAGCATGCTAGGTTCTCATCTTCATGTGATCATAGCTGCATAATTATCATTCATGCTCACACCCATAGAGTATGCATGAAGATGGACGTTTTGTGGAGGAGGGGAAAGTCTTCATTGCCACCCAAGGGTGTCTGCAAAACACAGTCGTTGACTTCTGGAAGATGGTGTATCAGGAGAATTCACATGTAATTGTCATGACCACAAAGGAGATGGAACGAGGACGGGTGAGCAGTTTGCAGCAAGCGTCCCCCAAATATGCAGCTTTATATTTTAGCAGAGGGTCTGTGGGGCAGTGAAACTCTAGTTCCATGTACAAAATACCTAAAGGAAAGCTAATGGACATAATGGAAATGTCTTACTTTTCCTGATATAATTTTTCTTTTGCTGTTATCTTTTTTCTTTATCCTGTTTCAGTGGATGGAAGAGAAAAACTGTCAACATAAAAACATATTTCTGATTTAATTTAAAATGCTCACATTTTATGCATTGCCCTATATGAAATACTGGTGGTTTGCTCTCACTCATTTTTGTTCAGCTTTTTCAGATGTAAAGCATTATTAGATGGCTGTAGATTCTAAGATTGGTGTGCGGTCATGTAGTAGCAATGATGGCGTGTGTTAAGTTTAGGGGGGAGGGGAGAAAGATGGCTGATATGACATGTAAGCTGATTGAAAAGCTGCTCGAGATGAGCGGGTTCTTTCGATGGTCTAATACTCGTCAGTCAGAGCAGTATTTTTCATTAGAGAGGGCAAATCAAACAGTGTTGGAAGGTCATGCTTCAGGAATTTTTAGTATCAAAAGCTTCATTCCCAGCATTGTAGTGCATTTTTCATTTTATTATTATTATTATTTTTTTTAATGCACACTTTGTGTCTTTTCAGTATCAGTTTGACTGATAAAAGACGTTAATGCAGCAGGCACTTGGGCATTTTTGCATGCTTTAAAATATTCATAGATCTACACACACAGGCACGACTTGCTCTTCTATTTTTGTGTACTTTACACATCAAGTACATCATGTAAATAGATGCTGCATGCACCATTATAAACCCTTTCATATGTCAGATGTATTTAAAACCAAGAAAATAAAAAAATTACAGCAAGATTTGTGCTTATGTTTAAAACTTTCTGCAGACTTAAAACCATAGATATCTAAGCTTTGAGTTGAATATTAAGAACTACATCCATGTTACCCTTTGCTGCCAAACAGTCACCTTTTAGGCTGGATGGAAAACTAAATCCTACTTTTTGCTCTGATTTAGAACAAATGTTTCCGTTACTGGCCAGACCTTCATGCCACTAAGGAGTTTGGAAAAGTGCTGGTGAGGAATGTGGACGAGCGGCCAGCACAAGACCATATCCTGAGGAAGCTGGAGGTGACACGTCTGGACCGGGTAGGGAACGCTCTATTCCCAGTCTGAGCTGACCCACTGACCTGAGGACAAATTATCTCACACCACACATGCACATGCTTGTGTTTGTACACTATAAGCTTGCACTTGTGGATTCACAGATCCACAATCCAGTGCTCATGCTCAGTTTTTTTGTTTTTTTTTGTGCTAAATGCATAAATAAATAAATCTTTAATGCTGCGTTTGGCGCGTGTATACAATAATAAGCAAAAAGTTCAGAGTGCCTGCCTTTCTTTTTTTCTGTGTTTATTAATGAAAGCTTAGAGGCTGTTGCTTTGATCAGTGAGGAACACTGAATATTTCAGGGGTGATATTTGGACACACACACACAGTCTGGATGTTAGGTGGGCTATAGCAACAGAGGTGGAATATCCTCTGTTAACTTTTATTACAGTTCTTCTTTAAATGGGTTAAATTTTGATTTGAGTATTTTCTTTTCATTTCAGTCTAGTTCCAGTTAGTTTCCAGAATAGGTCTGTATGTTTCAGTTCAGTTTTTATTCAGAAGAAATGTGATCGGAAGCACGATGTAGGCTATTCAGATAAGGTGTGACAACACAAACAACACTTTGGTTTATGAGAATTATGATGTTATTTGATTGTGAGTTTCCATTAACACAGTCTCATCAGGCTGATTTGGAGAGGAAATGTCTTAGGTTCTAGGAATCCTTTGGTTTTCATTTTCCGATAGCTAGTTCTGTTTTTTTTTT